GCCGGCTAGTGGTAACAGTCTGATGGCTTGGAGATAGAAGCTGTTTCTTAGTCTCTCTGTCCCAGCTTTGATGCACCTCTCCTGTCTCCTCCTTCTAGATCAGGGATGGGCAATTTTGATGGGGGTGGGGGCCACAAAAAAACAGAACTCATCATGAGGGGCCGCAGTGGCTCATCGTTCTGCATACCCACAAGCCACTTCGGTAATTCGACCATGCTTACTACTACCTTAGAAAGCTGGCCGCTAGACTAACTTACCAATCTACACAAGGTGCAATTTAGAAAATGTGATTGCGCTTCAGCAGTCAATTAGCCCAATTTTTTAAATTATATTATTCTAACTCTCAACAGTAAGTTGAGACTGCCAACCCCCCCAAAGAAAACTGGTCCATGGGCCTACAATCGGGCCACCAGTTGCCCATCCCAGTTCTAGACGGTAGAGGGGTGAACAGGCCGTGGCTCGGGTGGCTGAGTTCCTTGATGATCTTCTTGTCTTTCCTGTGACACCGGGTGCTGCAGATGTCCTGGAGGGCAGGCAGTGTGCCCCCAATGATGCGTTGGGCTGACCGCACCACCCTCTGGAGAGCCCTGCGGTTGCAGGCGGTACAGTTGCTGTATCAGGCGGTGATACAGCCCAACAAGATGCTCTCAATGGTGCATCTGTAGAAGTTTGTGAGGGTCTTAGGGGCCAAGCCGAATTTCTTCAGCCTGAGGTTGAAGAGGCACTGTTGCGCCTTCACCACACTGTGTTTGAAGGGACCATTTCAGGTCGTCAGTGATGTGCACGCCGAGTAACTTGAAGCTTTTGACCATCTCCATTGCAGCCCCGTTGATGTGGATGGAGGCGTGCTCTCTCTGCTGTCTTCTGTAGTCCATGATCAGCTCCTTCATTTTGTTGACGTTGAGGTTGTTTTCCTGGCACCACTCTGCCAGGGCTCTCACCTCCTCCCTGTAGACTGTCGCTTCACGTCATTGTTGGTAATCAGGCCTACCACTTTTGTGTAGTCAGCAAACTTGATGATTGAGTTGGACATATGCGTGGCAACGCAGTCGTGGGTGAACAGGGAGTACAGGAGGGGGCTGAGCACACACCCCTGTGGGGAGCCCGTGTTGAGGATCAGTGTGGTGGAGGTGTTGTTGCCTACCTTCAACACTTGGGGTCGGCCCGTCAGGAAGTCCAGGGCCCAGTTGCACAGGGACCCAAAGATTTTCTATGGGGTTGAGATCTGGAGACTGGCTAGGCCACTCCAGGACCTTGAAATGCTTCTTACGAAGCCACTCCTTCGTTGCCCGGGCGGTGTGTTTGGGATCATTGTCATGCTGAAAGATCCAGCCACGTTTCATCTTCAATGCCCTTGCTGATGGAAGGAGGTTTTCACTCAAAATCTCACGATACATGGCCCCATTCATTCTTTCCTTTACACGGATCAGTCGTCCTGGTCCCTTTGCAGAAAAACAGCCCCAAAGCATGATGTTTCCACCCCCATGCATCACAGTAGGTATGGTGTTCTTTGGATGCAACTCAGCATTCTTTGTCCTCCAAACACGACGATTTTGGTTTCATCTGACCATATGACATTCTCCCAATCCTCTTCTGGATCATCCAAATGCACTCTAGCAAACTTCAGACAGGCCTGGACATGTACTGGCTTAAGCAGGGGGACACGTCTGGCACTGCAGGATTTGAGTCCCTGGCGGCGTAGTGTGTTACTGATGGTAGGCTTTGTTACTTTGGTCCCAGCTCTCTGCAGGTCATTCACTAGGTCCCTCCGTGTGGTTCTGGGATTTTTGCTCACCGTTCTTGTGATCATTTTGACCCCACGGGGTGAGATCTTGCGTGGAGTCCCAGATCGTGGGAGATTATCAGTGGTCTTGTATGTCTTCCATTTCCTAATAATTGCTCCCACAGTTGATTTCTTCAAACCAAGCTGCTTACCTATTGCAGATTCAGTCTTCCCAGCCTGGTGCAGGTCTACAGTTTTGTTTCTGGTGTCCTTTGACAGCTCTTTGGTCTTGGCCATAGTGGAGTTTGGAGTGTGACTGTTTGAGGTTGTGGACAGGTGTCTTTTATACTGATAACAAGTTCGAACAGGTGCCATTAATACAGGTAACGAGTGGAGGACAGAGGAGCCTCTTAAAGAAGAAGTTACAGGTCTGTGAGAGCCAGAAATCTTGCTTGTTTGTAGGTGACCAAATACTTATTTTCCACCATAATTTGCAAATAAATTCATTAAAAATCCTACAATGTGATTTTCTGGAAAGAAAAATTCTCAATTTGTCTGTCATAGTTGTTGCGTACCTATGATGAAAATTACAGGCCTCTCTCATCTTTTTAAGTGGGAGAACTTGCACAATTGGTGGCTGACTAAATACTTTTTTCCTCCACTGTATATAGGTTATAGGTTGAGAGCTTTTGTGAAAGAGCACAGTTTGAAAGATATGGCATATAGAAGCAAACCGGATGGACATCATGAAAATGATCGGAGAGGTTGAGGGTAGAGGAAGTTCAGGAGTAAAAACAAACAAAATTGAATTATTGTAAAATTGACTGTGTCCATAAAATGTATATAGTATGTTTAAGCTGGAAGTAGAGGCCTAAGTATTGTTGCTCACTAGTTTACTCCAAATAAGGGAGGGGTGGTGGTGTTGGAAAGTAATAAAGGGAAATATATATATATATGTATGTATGTATGTATGTATGTATGTATGTATGTATGTATGTATGTATATGCATTTATATGTATGTGTATGTATATATATATATATATATATATAAATATATATAAACTCAGCAAAAAAAGAAACGTCCTCTCACTGTCAACTGCCTTTATTTTCAGCAAACTTAACGTGTAAATATTTGTATGAACATAACAAGATTCAACAACTGAGACATAAACTGAACAAGTTCCACAGACATGTGACTAACAGAAATGGAATAATGTGTCCCTGAACAAAGGGGGTTTCAAAATCAAAAGTAACAGTCAGTATCTGGTGTGGCCACCAGCTGCATTAAGTACTGCAGTGCATCTCCTCCTCATGGACTGCACCAGAATTGCCAGTTCTTGCTGTGAGATGTTACCCCACTCTTCACCAAGGCACCTGCAAGTTCCCAGACATTTCTGGGGGGAATGGCCCTAGCCCTCACCCTCCGATCCAACAGGTCCCAGACGTGCTCAATGGGATTGAGGTCCGGGCTCTTCGCTGGCCATGGCAGAACACTGACATTCCTGTCTTGCAGGATATCACGCACAGAATGAGCAGTATGGCTGGTGGCATTGTCATGCTGGAGGGTCATGTCAGGATGAACCTGCAGGAAGGGTACCACATGCATCTGCACAGTTTTCCCAGTAAATGTTTATTTATTTACTGTGTAAATTGTTCAAAGTAGTCATTGTGCATAGAGTTGTATAGTTTGTTAAACTTTGAAATCAATGTTTTTTGTTTGGCATACATTTGAAAAAATCTGAGTCTCAGCGTAATTCTGTTACCATGGAAAGTGACTTGAAGTTAACACATATTCAGTATGCTGTATGTGGCCCATTGCAGGAAATGAACCTACCATTCTGGTGTTGAAAGCACCCTGATGTGAAGATAATATAACAAGTATATCTACTGGGGTCAAGTCCTGGTCACTCTACTTTTTATTATAGCTATAAAGGTTTGGAAGGATCTCTTCAATGTTTTACATCATTTAGTTTTATTCTACTCTGTCCCACTTCATTAAAATATAATTTTAGATTTCATCCATGTGTATGTCAGCTATAACAAAGTAACCCTCTTTTTCACTCTCTACCCTTTCTCCTGCTATCTCTTCCTCTCCCCCATCTCCCTCTGTTCTTCTTTTCAAATTCATTTCAAAGGTGAACTTTATTGACTTATTGGCATGACTGCTGTGTTGCCAAAGCAGTTGAACACTGGATCAGCAGCACATCACTGTAGTACAGTCTCCTTTAATCCCCCCTACACCTCTCTCTCTCTCTCTCTCTCTCTCTCTTCCTCTCTCTCTTCCTCTCTCCCTCCCTCTCTCATTCAGGTTCAAAAGAGTCTTTATTGGCATAACATGGTTATACACGTAGTTGTCCAGTGTTAACACACAGCTAGTGCAATAACGACAACCTCTTTCTTTCTCTCTTTCACTATGTTCTGTCTTTCTCTCTCTCCAATAATACTTCTCTAATGTATATTGTTGTTTGAGTACTGTGCGAGAGAGAGAATAGATGGGAGTGAATTAAACATTCCTGATGGTGGAAAGGAGGTTGCTGGGTTTAATAATTTTTTTAGTCATTTTTTAGCAGACGCTCTTATCCAGAGCGACTTACAGGAGCAATTAGGGTTAAGTGCCTTGCTCAAGGGCACATCGACAGATTTTTCACCTAGTCGGCTCGGGGATTAGAACCAGCGACTTTTCGGTTACTGGCACAACGCTCTTAACCACTAAGCTACCTGGGTTTATGGGTTAATGACATTAATGGGCCATTGTCATATTTACATATTGAGCTAGAATGTGTGTGTTGGAGTGGGAGACAGAAAAGGAAAATATGAGAGGTGTCCTGTTGTCCCACTTCACAGACAAAGTCAGAGAGTTAACAAGGGAGCGATACTCTTAACAATTCATGAGTCCAGTGGCAGGTTTGATGCTCTCCCACCAGAACCTAAAAAACCACAGCAGACGCATGCCTTGTAGGAGTTTTGTCAGCCAGCCATGGCCCAAGGGCACGTTAATGTGCCAGTGTCACGTCTGGCAGAACGAGGGCACACACACACACACAGGACAAGCGACCTGACCATGGCATAGCAAGGGGGCAGTGGTGGTAGCAGTGATTTAAAGAGGAGGAGGAGGGGTCTTGGGTGGCTCTGTGACAAAGCAAAGTGAGAGGCAGCTAGGGAAGGAGGAGGGAGTTGGTAGATTGGCTTATTGTCTTACCCTGTCTTGTAACATGTTCCGCTTTGGAAATACTCCTGTCATGCCAATAAAGCAGATTTGAATTTTAATCGGGCTAAATGGAGGGAGCACGGGTAAGGAGGAGCTGAGAGGGAGGGAGGAAGACAAGAAAGAGAAAGAGGGTGGTCTTTTCACACTGACGGTGACGGAGAGCGTGCTTACAACATATTGCCTAAAAAAATAACACACAGAAAGGCAGGCACTCGCTCACACAGAGACCATGTTGACCTGTTTGAGCTGCACATGAGGTGGGGATGTGTTCTGGGTGCAGGGTTAGGGGTGGAGGCTGACCACTGCCCCTGCCCTGCTCTGCCGTGTGTGTCTGTGTGTGTCTGTGTGTGTCTGTGTGTGTCTGTGGGTGTCTGTGTGTGTGTGTGTGTGTGTGTGTCTGTGTGTGTCTGTGGGTGCCTGTGTGTGTCTGTGTGTGTGTGTGTGTGTGTATGAGAGAGCGAGCGCATTGAGGCAAACTTTGTGTTACCTCCAGCTCTGTGGGTGCTGGCACAGGGAGTCAGTGTCTGTTAGCGCAGCGACGTCTGAGTGTGAAGTGGCGAGACGCGGCCACAGCATGACCATGGCTCAGGGCCTGGTGTGGTGGAGAAAGAGGACAGGTGAAATTTAGGATGAGGGCAGAGAGTGAGGTAGTGAAAGAAAGACAGCAAGAAAGAATGAAAGAGAGAAAGAAAGGGAGAGAGAGAGAGAGAGAGAGAGAGAGAGAGAGAGAGAGAGAGAGAGAGAGAGAGAGAGAGAGAGAGAGAGAGGACATGCAGCAAGGGAATGACATTGGCCACCTGTAAAGGACTAACCTGCTGTAAGACCAGGGTTTTGAGTGCATGTCGTGACCACAGGAGATGTTGTGGGCCGATCAGTGTTTCTGCAGCTTTTTTATTAAGACAGGGCTGGGACGTCAAACTGCTGCAGCCCTCAGTGGGTTGCCGTCTAAACTTAGGCAAGAAATGGGCCATAGAGAAACGATCTGTGTGAGTTAAGTGGTTCGGGTTTCAGTCAACTAACGTCTCATGTCGAGAGGCAAAACAAAGAGCTCTCTCAGTTTTTTTCTTTGGTCTTCCGTTTATTCCTCTTCCATTTTCCCTGGAAGGGCTGCTGCGACGGTGGTTACATTATAATCAGAATCATGTTAGGGGCAAAATTAGCCAAATATTTTAATCAAGACCTGTGATTTTTTAATTAGGGTTCAAAAAGTAGTTAGAATAAGGTCAGCGCTAATTAGGTGATGGTCTGACAAATATGAGAACTAATTAAGTGTGCATGTGTTTGATTAAAGATAAGGAGGTTTTTATGATAAGAAATATGATGATGAAGCATGAGAGCAGAGAAGAGAGAGGAAGAGAGGCAGGTCTAATTGAGGTAGAGATAATACTTGAGTGAGTGAGAGAGCTGGAGAGAGACAGAGAGAGAGAGACAGAATGAGACACAAGTGAGTGAACGTGTTCATTACATTTTTTAAATTAATTTTGATTATATATTCTGAGTGCATTATTTGTGTTCATATCAGCGTGTTTGATTGGACGATTCTGTTAGCTATTATGTATTTTATGAGTTGTTTTTTGTGTGTGTATCCTGCACTGTAGATTTTAAACAAGCTAGTCTTCTAGAAAGACCTAGCGGGTTCTCTCTCCTCTCCCTTTCTCCATCTTGCTCTGCTCACTCTCTCTCACTCTCTCCCTCTCTCTCGCTCTCCGTCTTGCTCTGCTCTCTCTCTCTCTCTCTCTCTCTCTCTCTCTCTCTCTCTCTCTCTCTCTCTCTCTCTCTCTCTCTCTCTCTCTCTCCGTCTTGCTCTCCTGCCTCGCTCTTGCATCTCTACCCATCAGGCAGTGGAGAGCAGCAGTCAATAGCAACCCCCCTCGCTCAAGTTCAAAGCACCCTTTATAGGCAGGATAGAAATATGCATTGTCAAAACCTTGGAGCAGACAGCACACTCACACAAGTAGAAAAACAGCAATGGTGGTTATGAAAAAAAGAATATACACTTGAACATTCTTCAAAACGGCAAATAATCTATATTGTTGCTGAGCCATGGAGATCAGGTACTCTTACAGGCTTGCAGTAATGCAAAGCACACCCACACTCACACACGGAATACAATGTACATTGAGTACTTGTGTAAGTTGGGGTGGTGTGGACTGTATGTCTGCACTATACTGTATATGCTGTACTGTAGGTGTCTTTGTCCCAGATCTGTGTGTGTACAGTCAGTGTACATAACATACTCCTTACGCTGTGCATATGATGCATAAATGTATCCCTGTGTATGTTTACCTTCTATACTGTGTGTGTGTATGTGTGTGTGTGTGTGTGTGTGTGTGGTGTGTGTGTGTGTGTGTGTGTGTGTGTGTGTGTCTGTGTGTGTGTGTGTGTGTGTGTGTGCAGTTGTGCCTGTATGCACGTATTCAGAGGCAGGGCTGGGAGTAGCTCCATTTCTTTGTAGGCATTGGTGTGTCCCTGCGTGTGTAATTGAAATACCTGAGTTATTGATTCTCTCCCTCCAAGTCAAATGGCTGCTCGGTGAGTGTGAGCTCTCTCATTGGACAGCTGTGGGGCGAGCAGCCAGGCAGAGAGAGGAGCTAGCTCAGGCTAGGGCTGGGAACAGACAGGGAATAGCCAGGGACCTCACGATACGATATTATCACCATACTTAGGTGCCGAAACGATATGTATTGTGATTCCCATACAAAGTATCAATATAATATTGTCCAAAAATAATATTGCGATATGTAACTGTATCGGTTATTCCCCCTCATCACTACTGTCAGGGCTGCTGCTGCTGCTGCGAGGAGGGCACACATCTGCATCCTGTCTGTCCCTGACAGCACCAATCGGCTGTGGGTTAGCAGCTGTGGCTAGCGCTGCCCTGACTCCCTGGCCCGCTGCTGCTCACTCACTCTGCAGTCTGCACCAGGTCACAGCCCACCAGCCCCCTGTTCCACTCATTGTCTCCATAGACCCCCCCCCCCCCCCCCCCTCCATACTCACCTTCTCTCACTATTCTATTGCTCTCTCTGACTAATTTCTCTCCCGTCTTCATTTTCTCTCGATTCCTCTCTCTTTTACCCTCTTCATTCCTCACGTAGCTTACTCTCTCTGTCTCCATCTCTCTCTCCCTTTATCTCTCAGTGTTGTTCCCTCTCTCCTGCTGTTATTCAGCCTCTGTGTTGTTCCCTCTCTCCTCCTGTTATTCAGCCTCTGTGTTGTTCCCTCTCTCCTCCTGTTATTCAGCCTCTTTGTTGTTCCCTCTCTCCTCCTGTTATTCAGCCTCTGTGTTGTTCCCTCTCTCCTCCTGTTATTCAGCCTCTTTGTTGTTCCCTCTCTCCTCCTGTTGTTCAGCCTCTGTGTTGTTCCCTCTCTCCTCCTGTTGTTCAGCCTCTGTGTTGTTCCCTCTCTCCTTCTGTTATTCAGCCTCTGTGTTGCAGTCCAGTACAGTAGACTGCAGTGGCTGCTTGGGACAGACAGAGACACACTCCCTCCTCAGGCATTTTAATGTGTGCTAATCGATACCCCAGTGCTCGGGGAGGTGATCATTCGGACTGACCTTAATTATTGTTGCTGTAAATGAAGTGCAGGCTTTATTTGGCTCTGGGTCCCTTTCTCTCTCTCTTTCTCTTCTCCTCTTTTTTTTGCTAATGAAAATTCTGCAGACCTCTAGCTCTCTGAATGACTGCATGGGCCAGTACATTAACACTGCTCTTAGAAAGAGAGGAGGGGAGCTGCAGGGGACCGTGTGGAGGAGGGGGGCTGGAAATTCAATTATAACTGTGTCCTGGCAGTAATTTCACTGGAATAAATGGGACAGGGAGCGGGAGAGGAGATAGAGAGAGATCACAGGAGAGAGGGACATGAAAAAGAAAGTGGCAAAAGGGGATGAGATGGGATGAAGGTAGTGTGTAGAGGGACAAATGGATGAGGGCTAGGGGTCAATCGTGGTTTAGTGGAGAGGATCGTACAGTGGAAATGTATTATCCAAAGCCTTGCAAAACACTGACTTAGACATGTGGAATATACTGTTGTGGAATATACTGTTGTGGAATATACTGTTTATTCACGGTTATTATGTACATGTACTGTATATCATATATAAGTGACAAACACACACAGCATATTTATTCACCCCTTTCCGCTGTGCCATTTCAATGGTATAGTCTGATCTCATTCATGCGGAAACAAGGTAACGGATCAACCCATGTGCGTCCCCTGGGTTGTGGAGGTTAGGCTTTGATGTTGAGTGAAGCACGGATTCCTAAGCCAAAGAGATTTCAAGACCCTGCCTGGCTGACAGATACGTCTGATTTTACACTCTGACGCACACAGAAAAACACGGCCGCACACACGCACACACACACACACACATACACACATACAGTATTGGGAAAAAAACTGCAGTGTTGTCTAGACAACTCCTCTCCCTTGATTACGGTCCAGTTCAATATTCAATGTAAACGTGTAGCATAGCATTACTAACCCCCACTCTTCTGTTCCCCTAGGATGACAACTCAATGTTCTTCCAGTTCGGCCCGTCCATCGAGCAGCAGGCCTCGGTCATGCTCAACATCATGGAGGAGTACGACTGGTACATCTTCTCCATCGTCACCACATACTACCCTGGATACCTGGACTTTGTCACCAAGGTAACTCACCAACACAAGCCCTCACGACAGTGTAGCGCTCTCTTTTTCACCCCTTAATTTGAATACTGCCACCAGGCAATCCATGAGCAGATTCTAACGTCACCGTAGACTTATAGTCTTAACTTCTAGGATAGTGATAGGAAGACAACTACTAAGCTCAACATGTTCATGTAGTCAGGAAGTGTCAGTAGGTATTTAAATACTGTTACGTCGAGAGCAATCAAATTGGCCTTGTCAAATAGCCCTTCAGCCCTCTCACACACCTCCATCTTCCTCCATGTCGTTGAACACACTTTTTGTGATAACTCAATATTACAGATGATCATACCCAACTCTATCTCTCAACCACCTACCTCTTCCTCCCTGGTCTCTCCGTCCCTTCCTGTACCCTGTAGATACGGAGCACCATAGAGAACAGCTTTGTGGGCTGGGAGCTGGAGGAGGTTCTGCTGCTCGACATGTCAGTGGACGATGGAGACTCTAAGATCCAGAACCAGCTGAAGAAGCTGCAGAGCCCCGTCATCCTGCTGTACTGCACTAAGGAGGAGGCCAACACCATCTTCGAAGTGGCCCACTCCGTAGGGATCACGGGCTACGGCTACACCTGGATCGTCCCCTCGCTGGTGGCTGGGGACGCTGAAGTGATCCCTGCCGAGTTCCCTACAGGTTGGTTTGGAATAACTTCTATGTGATTTATCTCCATTTAAAGTGTGTGATTGGTTGTTGTTTTGCTGTTGATTTATAGTTGGGAAGATGTGGGATCAGGTAGCTGGTACTGATCAAATCCTAACCTGAAATCCATGCATGCAATGCTAATTTTTTGGCAAAATCTTACATTGATATTTCTGCATGATTTACGATAAATGGAAGTTAGTCACGCGCATGTCAAATTGACAGATATGGCCCTTAATAATATATTACCATGTCAGCTATGTAAATCATTTGATGTGTGATGGTCGAGTGGGCGAGGTATTGTACATGTTTTTCTGCAGGTTTTAACTGTCCCTTGAGCAGATTTGTCCTGCACATTAGGCAGTGACAGATGGTAGATACTGCATGAATTAAGGGTGTTTTGTGTCAAACTGTCAAAATAAACACTTCAGTTTATTACTGTTTGATGAATTTACAGTATAGGCCTTACAGTAACCTTCAGAATGTGAATTGTCTCATGAAGTTCATATTTCTAGCACACGTAGGCCTACACCTTTAATGGAGAACTTACTAACTAATCCTCACAGGTAATTCCACTGATGCATTCCTTAAGTGGCACTCTGGGGAGCTACAGTATCTCACCTCCTCCCCCTCTCTCCTCCTCCTCCTCCTCCTCCTCCTCTATCCCCTCTCTCTTTCGCAATTAACTTAAACACACTTCTCATGACGCACAGATATTGCTAACATTTAGCATGTGACCCTCCTAATCTTACATCACAGACAATGATGAGCTGTCTGGCACCAATGGCCTGGTTTTGTAATCAGGTCCCCCAATCAACAGTTAGAATGAGAAGGAGGGGAGGGGAGTAGAGGGCTACTGCAGTTCAAATGGAAGGACAAGGGGTCTGGTTCTCATACACCTCCAAGTCAACGCCACTGACCTCATCTTCCTGTTTACCCACATCGCCAAGGGAGATGAGATTGTCTATTTTGTTGCGACATTTTCCTGAGATGGACATGTCCCATTGGCTGCCAACCAACCCTTTCCACTACACGCACACTAGTTCTATATTATAATTTTTGTAGGGTAAATATAAAAGCCTGGAGAAAGTGTCAACAGAGTGTGACATTAGATATGGTCCTGGAAGGACTGAGCTGTCATCCCAGAGCCCTGTGGGTCTACAGGTTGGATGCTGTCTGTCTATTTCTGTCCAGTTGCCTGGTAATGGATTGGCCAGTCCCTGTCAAGCGGGCCGAAGCAGACAGAGAGGGCGTGAGGATGCAGTTTGACTGAGAAGAGAGGAGAGGGGTGGCTGTCAGTGGTGTGTGGCGCACGCCTCATAGTGTGTTTAGCCCCTTGATTGAGTCCATTGCGTGCAGAACCACTCTTCCTCGGCTCTCTTTCTCTATCTCTCTCCTGTCACTGTCTCCTCTGTCGACTGTATATTATGGATCTCTCTCTCTCTATCTGCTCTACCTTTCTCTCTATCTGCTCTCCCTTTCTCTCTATCTGCTCTCCCTTTCTCTCTATCTGCTCTCCCTTTCTTCTAATTCCCCCTCACTATATCTGTTTCTGCCTCTTCCCTCATTTCTCTCTCTCTCTTGCTCTCTCTATCCACCCAGTCCTGCTCATCTCTCTCTCTCTCTCTACAGGTTTAATCTCTGTGTCGTATGACGAATGGGACTACGGCCTGGAGGCCCGCGTGCGCGATGGGGTGGCTGTCATCGCCATGGCAACCTCCACCATGATGCTGGACAGGGGGGCACACACACTGATGAAGTCTGAGTGCCACGGCGCCACGGACAAGAAAGGGCCCATTGCTGGGAACCCCAACGAAGTGCTCAGGTAAATCTGGGGCAGATCTCCTATCAACCCTTTGAAATCTTTCAACTCTTTCAACATCTGCACACACAAAGAGTAACACACACATCTCCCTCCCAAAACAGCCCCCCTCCGCCTACTGCACCCCAACACCCGGACCCTCTCCTTTCCTCTGCTGGGCCTTTTGAACTCGTTGTGATGCGGAGCATTCTGCCACGCTTTGCTTTGCCAGCTCTTTAATTGGTCCCAGTGGCATTTCAGTCTGAGAACAGTAGCCCCGTTGCGCTGCTCTGTGGAACTGAGCGTGGTGTTGTATTCCGGGGCAGTTCCACCCTACTCTGCGTTTTGCCACTCTGCCTCTATGTGTTTGGGGGATTGTTGGGCATACTGTTGGGACACCAAAGTAGGTTTGGCTGCTTACAAAAATCCTGTTTCCTCCACCATTTCAGGGATTGTTGGGAGCGGAGCAGCTGAGTGCTATTTCTGTTGCTGTATCACGGCAGCACCTGGGGATGCTCTGAGCTTTCTCTCGCGCAAGCATTTCGGTTTTGGGATGTTTTTTACGCAACAAAGCGATCAAAGCCTAACTGAGTCTAGCTCACTTTGGAAACTCTGCCTGCTGTATTGTCTCACAGGAAGCTGTCAGATGTCATTTCAGCGTAGACCTCTTATGTTATGCCGTATTTGTTTGCCACTGCCCAATGCTTTTAGATAACGGCACAGCTACTATCCCCAGTATATGTTTCCTCTGTAATACGCTCCCCAGCCATCTCTAACCCATTGTTTCATAATCAACTAAGCTGTGCTCTTGATTAAATCACGCTGAACCGATCTCAGATCATGCTTTTGGTTTTACTTGAACTAAACCTGTTTGTTGATAACCTCTGTCTTCAGGGAGTCAATGAGCTGATTAGCATTAAGCCCACAGATAGACAGATAGACTCAATCAGTGCTTCCTCTCATGTGACAGATATATAGCACTATGGGGCTATGAGACCAGCCTGATGGGATGCGAGGGGGTAATCAGACCTATAACTGCCTATATTACAATGTATCGTCATTTTATTCAGTCATTTTTAATTTATCGTATAAAAAAGATAAAGAAGTCTATGGCCACTTACAAATCAAATCAAATCACATTTTATTTGTCACATGCGGCGAATAAAACAGGTGTAGACCTTACCGTGAAATGCTTACTTACAAGCCCTTAACCAACAATGCAGTTCAAGAAATTGAGTTAAGAAAATATTTACTAAATAAACTAAAGTAAAAAATAATTTACAAAAATAAGTAACACAATAAAAGAACAATAACGAGGCTATATACAAGGGGCACCGGTACCAAGTCAATGTGCAGTCTTATAGCTTGGGGGTAGAAGCTGTTAAGGAGCCTTTTGGTCCTAGAGAGAGAAGGTGACATAGGCAGGAAAGTTAAATACATTTCACAGCAAAGAACATTATCGTTACAGAGATGGAGAGAAAGAGGGGGTAGTAGTGAAGTCAAGAGAGAAATATGACCTGTCTCCCCCCTCTCCTTTTCCCTCTCTCTATCACACTCGCTCTCTCTCTCTGTGAGATTATGGTTCCCATAGCAACGCAGCAGATTGGCTTGGAAATCTTGGTGGTTGTGGGTACCATGGCAACACATTACATATGCTTGTGTGAGTCTCTCTGTCGCCGTTGTCAACGTGTGTAGGATGGTACAGTATATACATTCCACATAAATACCCCACATGTACATTGTCATGCATAACTATACCATGCTCACTAAACATTCAAGAGGACACACTCTCGAGTCATTTCGTAAATGGCTTATAATTTATGCAGCATATTCCATAGGCTTTGCGTCTGTGCCAAGGTTGCTGCTGATACATATGGTACTAACAGACGGTCCTATATGATTTCTCCACTTAATATTTCATATTTTATCTTTACACAAAAAAGTAGAACGATTTGGTTTAAGGATATTTGAGAAACATTGAAATGATGTTGTAAATCCTGTGTTTTGGACCCGTGACATTTTGGAGCACACAGAACAAGAATGTTGTTTACCAATTTGCATCTACCTGTTTACCTATCATGCCATTCTATCAAGCAAATCCACAGACTCTCCCACTCTCCTGCACACATCATACCAAGGTACAGTGATGTACTGTATACCTCTCATTACGCAACATACAGGTAACTGCCAAAATAAAGGAAACACTGAAAGTGTCTTAATAGGGCGTTGGGCCACCATGACCAGAACAGCTTCCATGCACCTTGGTATAAATTCTACAAGTGTTTGGAACTCTATTGGAAGGATGCAACACCATTCTTCCATGAGAAATTCCATCATTTGGTGTTTTGTTGATGGTGGTGGAAAACGTTTTCATGCTCATCAAACTGTTCAGTGACCACTTGGGGCATTGTCATCCTATGTGGGCATAGCCATGGTAGCCAAAAATAATGGCCTGTCCAGCATTTTTATACATGACCCTAAGCATGATGGGATGTTAATTGCTTAATTAACTCAGGAACACAGTCAAATGCTCCATTTTCTGTGTGTGTGTGTGTGTGTGTGGATGGCAGGGGCTGACGTGTGATGTGTGACTGTGTGACTGTGACTCCATGCTGGCATGCTGAGGTCTGTGGAGAGCTGCTCTGTGTGGAGAGGAAGTGAGTGGTCGGGTCCTCAGGGAGCGGATGGGAGAACATTGATAGTGGTGAGCTTTTCTAGTGGTTCAGTATGTGTAGTTACTGGTATGCAGTGTGCCGGTCTGCCTGGCTAGTGTTGCCGGGCATGTTGTTGGACATGCTGCTCAATGCAGAGAACGTTCAGTTCAGGTGGGTGGCACAAACATGAGCATGTGCAGTACGGACACACACACACAGAAACACACACACACACACACACAGACACACACACGTCACTCTCAGCTCCAGTCATGCCTAATTTTTGTCATGTATTTATTTATCTATGTATTGTGTGCATGGTTTTGAGGCAGAGTGTTGCCATGGAAACAGTAACCCAGAAAAAAAGAGAGAGAGGCAGAGGAGAGTAGAACGGGGGGGTGGCAGAGAAATGATTTGAGCTCACCTGACAGAAACACTTGTGTTCTCACACACACATACACACACACACACTCTTCCCACACACACTGGCACATACATATCCGACAGCTAGGAAACAGAGAGATACCACTAACATGAAACAGAAGCACATTGAAAGGGGTTGCAATGTCATGATCAGCCAGGAGACTGTTGCAGTGCTGTCCTGTCTGCCTCCTCACTGCAGCCGTACAGTAGACATGCTCACTGCTCTATTCTGGTCTATTCTATCCTATTGAACTCTATTCTACTCTATTCTACTCTACTCTATTCTACTCTACTCTATTCTACTGTATTCTATTCTTCTGTATTATATTCTACTGTATTATATTATACTCTACTCTATTCTACTGTATTCTATTCTACTCTACTCTATTCTACTGTATTCTATTATACTCTACTCTATTCTACTGTATTATATTATACTCTACTCTATTCTACTGTATTATATTTTACTCTACTCTATTCTACTGTATTCTATTATACTCTACTCTATTCTACTGTATTCTATTATACTCTACTCTATTCTACTGTATTCTATTTGATCCTATTTTCACTGCACAGATATCGCCATTCTAACCTGTGTGTGGGAATAAAAGCCTTATTAACCTGAATCTCTGTTCCTATCCAGGTACCTGATGAATGTAACGTTTGAGGGCCGGAACCTGTCCTTCAGTGAGGACGGCTACCAGATGCATCCCAAACTAGTCATCATCCTTTTGGACAAGATGAGGCAGTGGGACAAGGTGAGGTTTCGGCTTTGTATGGTGTGTCTGTGTGTGTGTGTGTGTGTGTGTGTGTCTGTGTTAGTTTATATTTGTATTTCTACATCTCACTGTGTGTCTCTTTCTTTCTCTTGCTCTACTTCTTCCTCCTATTATTCTATCTCTTCAGCCTCTAATCGTCTCTGCAATCTATATTCTGTCCTCTGATCAGAGAGCAAGGTGACTCTCTCCTCTCCTCTGCTCCCCCTCTCACTCTCACTCTCATGTTTAATTCTTAGCTTTACTTCCAGCTGGACCACTTTCTTGGATTCTAATGAGTGCAGGATTCCACCCCTTCTCTCTCTCTCTCTCTCTCTCTCTCTCTCTCTCTCTCTCTCTCTCTCTCTCTCTCTCTCTCTCTCTGTCTCTGTCTCTGTCTCTGTCTCTGTCTCTCTCTCTCTCTCTCTCTCTCTCTCTCTCTCTCTCTCTCTCTCTTTCTCTGTCTGTCTGTCTGTCTGTCTGTCTGTCTGTCTGTCTGTCTGTCTGTCTGTCTGTCTGTCTGTCTGTCTGTCTGTCTGTCTCTCTCTCTCTGTCTCTCTCTCTCTCTCTCTCTGTCTCTCTCTCTCTGTCTCTCTCTCTCTCTCTCTCTCTCTCTCTCTCTCTGTCTCTCTCTCTCTCTCTGTCTCTCTCTCTCTCTCTCTCTCTCTCTCTCTCTCTCTCTCTCTCTCTCTCTCTCTCTCTCTCTCTCTCTCTCTCTCTCTCTCTCTCTCTCCTTCCCTATTTCCCTGCTCCTTTGAAGTAGTTCTGAAGCTCTGTAATATCCAGTCCAGTTTACACACTGTGAGTTGACTGTAACCCTTCCCTCTCTGTCTGGAGGTAGCAGTCTGGCACCGGGGCTCTGCAGCCCAGTCAGTCTGCTGCAGCCTGCCAACTTTCCTCTCTGGAGTGTGTTTGTGCATGTGTGTGAGCGCATGGGTCTGTGTGTGTGCGCATGCACGCACGTGCTCCAACTCCTTGTCCATCTCACATCTTGACAGGCCCAATTAGTTGATCATCCATATCCATTTACACCCACGCTATTCCCTGAAATAAGTGCCCGTTAGCTGCTGTTGGAGTAGAGGGCAAAAGACAGAGTCTTCAGGTATGATTTGTCGGCGGCAGTGATGGTGAAAATTGAGTAAATGATGGTGCTAATTCAGCGCTGGGGATTGGAGGGTCCTCCAGGAATTGAGTTGGACACTCTGGTCCAGGAGTGCTTACATTTGCATACGAATTACCTCTCCTCCCTCTCTACCTCTCTCTGTCGCTCCCCTCTCGTTCTGAATTCCACTCTCTTTCCCCCGTTCCTCTGCCGTCCTTCACGTTAACCTTTCTCCTACCCAGTGCGCTCTGTGTCCCAGTCCTCGTCTCTGGGTGCTCTCTGCCCAGCCGCCTGCTGACGTGATAGAGCAATCTACAGTTGTTGAACTCATTCTTCTTTCTGTCTTTCTTTCTTTCTTTCTGTCTGTCTTTCACTGACTCACTCAGTCACTCACTCACTCACTCACTGTCCCCCACTGTTTTGGTGTTTGTGTGTTATCATGACACGTTTAAGGCTCATTAATGCTTCCTTATTGTGTACTCACTGACAGAAGGACACATTTATATATTTATATTGGATAATTTGGCAAAGAAGTACCAGTTATAATTTAAATGAATTTTTCAAGGGGCCCATTTTCATAACGCTATTGTCAACCAAATATGCATTGGCAAAAAGTCCCCCCAAATGCAAACATCAATCTGTGAACACAGAAGCCAGCCTTATGGAGTGTGTTTGCTTACTGTCTCAGGTGGGGAAGTGGGAGAATGGCTCCCTGTCCATGAAGTACCACGTGTGGCCTCGCTTTGAGATCTACTCAGGGGCAGAGAGCCGGGAGGACGACCACCTTTCCATCGTGACGCTGGAGGAGGCTCCGTTCGTCATCGTGGAGGACGTTGACCCCCTCAGTGGCACCTGTATGAGGAACACTGTACCCTGCAGGAGACAGCTCCAAACAATGTGAGGGGAAAACTCTCCACAACACTTTCTAATGCCACATACAATGTCTATAACACAATGTATATCCTTAACACCACTGTAATGCGTATAATACCACAGAAATTCTCACAATTCTACAACAATGTATTTAACAATAATATAAAGTATTGATGTCAAAGCAGTGTCCAAGTCTATAATATTAAGATGTATAATAATTCTAGTTATGCCCCTTATATTGTCCCACAGTATCCACAATAAAAGCCTTAAGACCCTCAAACCCCATTCTTACAGTACATTATGAGTATCTGCCGTCTGCCTCCAGTATCTCTACATCTGTTCTGAGTTGTATTAAGCCTCTAACTGTGTGGGTACGTCCTGTCCTGTGTCTCAATATGTTCCTCTCTCCACCCTGTCTCACTCTGCCGTGGCAACATGGCCATGATGATATCCAAATCCAGGCTAGCGGGGTAGGAAGAGCTCTGTTAAAGTCTATAGAAAGCAGAACGCTTTAAGCATGCTGATAATGTTCCCCTCTGTCTAATCTCTGTCTAAACATATGTTGTTCAGCATGGAAAAAATATCTTTGCCTGCCGCCTACAGCTGTATGAATGCCCAGTGTTAATAGGGCCTATTGTTGTCCCTATCACCTTTTACATCTTTTTTTACATTCCCTCAATCTGTCTATTCCTGTTGCACTTTCCCTACTATATCTCCCCCTCCTCTATTCCATTGTTTTCTCTCTTCCTTTCCTCCATTTTATGTTACCCTAATTCTCTGCATGCTTTTCTCCTTACTCTGCCGCTCTCCTCCTCCCTCGCTCTTTCCGTCTCTCTCGCTCTCTCTTTCTCAGGAATAAAACCGTAGACTCAGGGATCTATATCAAGCGCTGCTGTAAGGGTTTCTGCATCGACATCCTGAAGAAGATCGCCAAGCACGTCAAGTTCACCTATGACCTCTACTTGGTGACCAACGGAAAACACGGCAAGAAGATCAACGGCACCTGGAATGGCATGGTGGGAGAGGTGGGCCTCAGGAGCTGCAGCTAGTCTGTCTGTGTACGATGGTGTCATGGGGTTAGCTACCTGTGTCAGTCTGTCTGTTTATCAGTCTGCAGGTATCAACCTGTCTTCTGTTTGTCTGCCAGTGTCTTTATGCCTGTGTCCGTATCTGTGTCAGTGGCTATCCCAACAGGCATCATGCCCTCTGTTATTAACTTGGAGCTACCTGGAAGGCAAACTCATTCTGAGTGACTTACAGACAAACAATCCTCTTCCACTTCCATGTCACCAGTTTATTCAGTTGGGCAATAGCTAATGTCAGTCAGGTTAAGTACCTCACTCAAGGGTAAAGAGCAGTCTACCATGAAAGTCCAGTTTGTGTTATAAAGATGCCCCGTAATCGACATTGGTCCCAAGGTAAGGTTGTTGTCAGTTCTAATTTACAGCAGTAGCAGCTGCACTGAGGCAGAGAGTAGCAATGTCTTTAGTTTACAACTTTGTTCTAACTTCAGGAAAATTCTAGTGTTGCGCCTCGCCTTAGTAACAGCCCAAGGGCTGTGGGTAAAAATACATAGTGTAACTTTACCGTAGCAGTGGATGTTCAGGTTTGAATAACCTTCCACTGTCAAGACAGGACTACATATCAATTTTCCTACTACAGTAAAATCCACATTGACGTTATACATTTCAGCCATTTAGCAGACTCTCTTATTCAAAGCCACTTAGATTCAATATGGATACTGGGCCTCCAAGCCCAGAATGGTCACCTGTTCTAAAGGGGTGTGTGTCATGTGGACTAAAAGGGTGCTAATGTACCGTCTCTTTAACACCTAGAAGAGGAATGTTAATGGAGTAGAGCATCCTTCCCATCCCAGCGCCGCTCAGCAGCGTCCTTCTCACACTGGCCCTCCGCCAGGCCGTATCTCACACTCTTAATGACCCCTGATCTGCTCACAAGGACCGTATGGATCACATAGATGCCTCTTGACTTACACAATGCACCAGAGCTGTGCAAAAAAAGAGCAAGAACTCAATGCAGGGTTAAAGTTGGTCTCTCCCCTCCATTTTGTGCTGACTTAATGTTGCTCGCTGGTGTCGGTATTGATGGAGTGAAGGCAGCCCCTAATCCTCATAATCCAAAATATTTGAGGCAATACTCTTGATTACATGAGTTTGGCTTCAAACATCCACAGACGTGAACATAGAACACACACGCAAAAGTTCTCGCTCGCTCATTCTCAGTACCACCCACATAGGTCACTTTCATAACGGAGAGAGTACAAGCCGTGGGAGTGAGATGGAGGGAGAATACAGAGAGAGAGAGGAAGTGAGTACACTGCTGGACAGACTTGCTCCCCCTGGGGAGACACACATACACACGCACACACACTAACACAAACAAATCCTTGGCATGCAAACCTCCAGACCACAGGTAAAGGCAAAAGTCTCACTCCCCCTTCTCTCTCCCTCCCTCTGTCACACACACCTTATTAACTCAGTCAGTTCTGTCCCACTTTACCCCAGCGCTGTAGGGCCCAGGTATTTAGAGCTACATATACCTGTAGAGATGGAGGGGCACGTAGGGAGGGATGGAAAGCAGGGAGGAAAGGAAAGAGGAGGCAATGGCAATGGGGTGGCTATTTCAAGCTTCCATGACCCACTGTGGTAACCCAATTCTCCCTCCCTCGTTCTGTCTGTCTCTACCTCCCCTCCCTCATTCTCTCTCTCCCTCCCTCGTTCTGCCTCTCTCCCTCCCTCGTTCTGTCTGTCTCCCTCCCTCCCTCGTTCTGTCTGTCTCTACCTCCCCTCCCTCATTCTCTCTCTCCCTCCCTCGTTCTGCCTCTCTCCCTCCCTCGTTATGTCTGTCTCCCTCCCTCCCTCGTTCTGTCTGTCTCTACCTCCCCTCCCTCGTTCTCTCTCACTCCCTCCCTCGTTCTGTCTCTCTCCCTCCCTCATTCTGTCTGTTCTGCCTCCCCTCCCTCGTTCGGTCTCTCTCCCACCCTCGTTCGGTCTCTCTCCCTCTCTCATTCTGTCTGTTCTGCCTCCCCTCCCTCGTTCTGTTTCTCTCTCCTTCCCCTCCCTCACTGTGGATCACAAGTCTCCACTCTGACTGTTCTTGATGTGTAGAAACTGTCTCTCATTGACCTTTCTCTTTCTCTCTCACTCCCTCTCTCCCTACTGTTTCTCCCTATCTCCTTAATGTTTCTCCCTCTCTCCCTACCGTCTCTCTCTCTACCTCTCTATCTCAGGTGGAGACAAAGAAGGCCCACATGGCGGTGGGCTCCCTCACCATCAACAAGGAGAGGTCAGAGGTCATTGACTTCTCGGTGCCCTTCATCGAGACGGGCATCAGCGTCATGGTGTCCCGTAGCAACGGCACCGTCTCACCCTCTGCCTTCCTAGGTGAGTGTGACCCACAAACAGACTGCCAACGCTGCCAACTTTACAGTATCGCCCAAATGTACTGTGCAGTGTGAACTAAGACTGAATTATAATGTGCCTAACTCTCTCGCTTTCTGTCTGTCTCATTCCCCTCCGATCTTTTCTTTCCTACTCCCACTCTCTCTCTCTGACTTCCTCTCCCTCGCCTCTATCTCACTCACTTTGTTTCGCTGTGTACTCCTCATTTGCATATTTTTCTCTCTCTCGCCCTCCCTCCCTTGGCCTTTCTCTCTCTCAGAGCCTTTCAGTGCTGATGTGTGGGTGATGATGTTCGTGATGCTGCTGCTGGTGTCGGCGATTGCTGTGTTTGTGTTTGAGTACCTCAGCCCTGTGGGCTACAACCGCTGTCTGGCCGACGGCAGAGGTGAGAGGGCTCCACACCTGCACGAACATCTCTCTCTCACACACACACACACCCACACACACACACACACACACACACACACACACACACACACACACACACACACACACACACTGCTGTGCGCGGTGAACTTCCCCAACTCCCACATGGCTGCCAGTAAACCCTGACCACCCTCCTCCTGTCCTCCTTTACCTCTCAGAGCCGAGTGCAGGTGAAGTCTCTTCCCATTGATTTAAATATGCCTCCCCTGGTTCTTCATGTATTTTAATGCGGGCCCTGTGTTTTGCATGCATTTCCATATTTTCAGGAATCACATGTCAGGCCTGACAGGGATGGGCCAGTTTTTATTAGATCTCCCAGCCAAAAAGAAATAATCAATGTCTCTCCATCCTATTCATGATGGGGCTATATTTAGAGACCATATCTTTTTTTAATCTCTCTCATCCTTCATGTTCTGGAGAATAAGACCCTCTTCCATAAAGCGTTGTAGGAGTGCTATTGTTAGCTGGTCATACAGTAGCCTTGGGAATTCAGTGTTTGTGCGAATTGGATCAAATGTTGGATTCCAACTAGTGATACTCCTGGTGCCTACTTACAGAACAGTAAATACAACTGATGTGCCAAAAAGTATTATCATGATGGATTCAATCGTGTGTGGTAGTGACATAACCACAGCACACACATATACAACAACAATAGGCATACTTAGTAGTGGACTAAAGCCTCATCTGCATTACAACACACTTACCCAGGTGTTTATTAGAATGGCACAGCACCGTTGTCCAATCAGTCGTGTTCCTTCTGCTTCCCTAGCCACATTGTGCTTTATGATCCTACAGCTAACCACAACATGTCTACAACACTGAGACACCTCCCTGAGACCATTCCTCATTGTGATCACTACCTGTCTCTCCATCAGAGCCTGGAGGGCCCTCCTTCACCATCGGCAAGGCCATCTGGCTGCTGTGGGGTCTGGTCTTCAACAACTCTGTCCCAGTGCAGAACCCCAAGGGTTGGACCAGTAAGATCATGGTGTCCGTGTGGGCCTTCTTCGCTGTCATCTTCCTGGCCTCCTACACTGCCAACCTGGCAGCCTTCATGATCCAGGAGGAGTATGTGGACCAGGTGTCTGGACTCAGCGACAAGAAGGTAAGGCCTGTCATTAAACTTCATTAGTCCTTTACTCGTTCTTTCTTACTATCTCTCCTCTCGCCTTATCTCACCTCCATTCCAATTCACTGTCCATCTTTCCTTGATTCCCTTGATTTCTATCTCTCTCTCTGTCCTCTGCCTGCCACCACTTTCCTCACGCCATCATTATTTCTATGCCTCTATCGCTCTTCAACACCTCTTAGCGCACAAAGTATATCTATAGAGAATATCGATAGGAGAGAAGAGCGAGGAGAAGGTGGTGGGTGATAGATGAGATCGAGAGCAGATATCATCTCTCCTATATTACTCTAGCTATTCTCTATCGATTCGATTTTTTTTTCTTTCTCTCTCTCTCTCTCTCTCTCTCTCTCTCTCTCCTCTCCTCCCCTCAGTTCCAGAGACCCAATGACTTCTCTCCTCCGTTCCGGTTTGGGACGGTCCCTAACGGCAGCACGGAAAGGAACATCAAGAACAACTACAAGGAGATGCATGGCTACATGATCAAGTTCCACCAGAAGAACGTGGACGAGGCCCTCTATGGTCTGAAGACTGGGTGAGCAGGGGGAATGGGGCCTTAGACTGGGTGAGGAGGGGGAATGGGGTGTTAGACTGGGAGAGGAGGGGAACAGGGCTTGAGACTGGGTGAGGAGGGAGAACGGGGCCTTAGTCTGGGTGAGCAGGGGGAATGGGGCCTTAGACTGGGTGAGCAGGGGGAATGGGGTGTTAGACTGGGTGAGCAGGGGCAATGGGGTGTTAGACTGGATGAGGAGGGGAACGGGGCTTGAGACTGGGTGAGGAGGGGGAACGGGGCCTTAGTCTGGGTGAGCAGGGGGAATGGGGTGTTAGACTGAGTGAGGAGGGGGAATGGGGTGTTAGACTGGGTGAGGAGGGGAACGGGGTTTGAGACTGGGAGAGGAGGGGGAACGGGGCCTTAGTCTGGGAGAGGAGGGGGAACGGGGCCTTAGTCTGGGAGAGGAGGGGGAACGGGACCTTAGTCTGGGAGAGGAGGAGGAACGGGGCCTTAGTCTGGGAGAGGAGGGGGAACGGGGCCTTAGTCTGAGAGGAGGGGGAACAGGGCCTTAGTCTGGGAGAGGAGGGGGAACGGGGCCTTAGTCTGGGAGAGGAGGGGAAACGGGGCCTTAGTCTGGGAGAGGAGGGGGAACGGAGTCTGGGAGAGGAGGGGGAACGGGGCCTTAGTCTGGGTGAATGGGGGAACATAGTGTCCTCCTATTGCTGACCAGGGTTTGGGTCAATTCCATGTCAATTCAGTCATCCCCCTCAACCCTGTTGCAGTCTTTCACTTACTTTACTTATGTAATGTATTCTATTTCCTTTTATGTATTTTGTCATATCTTAGTTGAATTATTCTCCTTGTTTCTCATTAAAAGCTCCGGTTTTATTCATTTCCCAGCACAAGAGTGTCTACCATTATACAGTACGTGACAACTGTAGCCCTTGGCAAAGCAGGCAGAAGTCTATTATCCTTATCACAACATTAGGGCTACTGAACAGGTTCATTGGGATGAGTAGTTACAGTGTAAAGCTAGGCCAGAAGTAATTACTGTAAATTCTCTCATTAGTAAACTGGATGCCTTCATCTACGACGCAGCAGTGCTGAACTACATGGCCGGGAGGGACGAGGGCTGTAAGCTGGTGACCATCGGCAGTGGGAAGGTGTTTGCCTCCACGGGCTACGGCATCGCCATCCAGAAGGAGTCTGGCTGGAAGAGACACGTGGACCTGGCCATCCTTCAGCTCTTTGGAGACGGTGAGATCGACGTTCAGTTAGAATTACACACAGTTTGACTTCATGTATTTCAGCTAGGGAGTCGTGACATTTTACTGAGGGTTTTAACGGTGTGCTTTGATGGAAAACAGCCACGTTTTTCCGGTCGGATTACTTGCCTTCATCTGGAGAGAAATGCAATAAAACTAGAAAATTGGGAAATTGTTTTAGAGTGTGCTGTTGTAATGTTTCCCCATGGAATTGTATACTTTTGGCATACTTGCCAACTGGCTAAAATATAACACACACAATCCTACAGGTATTGTCTATGTATGTCATATTGTGCATAATATGGCTGTGTCCAACCTTGAATGAGCACCAGTCATAGCTGTATTAAAAGCCATATAGAAGTAGTTTTTCTTTCTGCAGCTTGTCTGTGCTGGAGCCAGTTTATTTGGGTGTGTTCCAGCCTGTCTTGAGGATCCTGGACCAAGGCCCCTCCAGGCCCCACTATAGTGTCCTAGTTAGAGGTGCCAGTATAGCTGCTGGTGTATTTCTACACTCTGTGGACAAGGGGTGTGTGTGAATGTGGGTCAGCCCTACGAAGACTGTGTGTGTAGGTCTCTGTTTCTCTGTGTCTGTCTACTGAATGTACAGGTGTATTTATCGACCTATATATAAGCTTTGGATATGGAGTGTGTTTTTCTGTATTTAGGGATCGGTGACAATAAGTTATTGTGTCTGTATGTATAGTATACCGTTTCTTGTATATTTTCTTGTGTGTTTATGTGTGAATATGGGTCATCATCTGGTGCCGTCCCCTGTGTACATCCAGCCAAAGCTTAGCAAGTGGCCCTCAATGTCACATTGACACGCCCCAACATGCACTCCTCTCAGTGTGGCCTAGTTTGAGAAAGCGATCCTCACGCGCTGAGAGACCAGGGGCCTGTGAAGGGTGCAGACGGGGGCCTGGCTGGTTTGACGATGAGGCTCCCAGACAGTCACTTAGAGCAGAGGAGGATGCGTAGGGCCCCAGGGAGCTCTGGTCTCACAGACGCCACTGAGCCCCATCTCCCACACCAGTCGCCTTAGTCGACCAGGAGCCATGCGGGCGCAGCAGGCAGTGGGCCCTGAATTCGATCATCTGTGTGTGTGTGTGTGTGTGTGTGTGTGTGTGTGTGTGTGTGTGTGTGTGTGTGTGTGTGTGTGTGTGTGTGTGTGTGTGTGTGTGTGTGTGTGTGTGTGTGTGTGTGTGTTGATGCTCAGGGGCCAGTGGTCCCATGCGAGAGCTCTGCTGACGTGCACAGCCATCTGAATGTATGCTTAATTAAGTAACGCCAGTCCTGCCACGGACAGTCCGCCAGAACTAACTGCTGCTGATGTTACACAAGGTGACCCACAAAGAGACAGATAGAGACTCTGGGACATGGCTGGACACGTGGACACACACACATCATGCACGCACACTCATATTTCCATATACACATGCGCACACATGGGTCTATTTACTGAATCTGAAGTGTGCTGTCATGAATAACAAAACTGAGATGTATTCATTAAAATGCCACCAAAGACTTGCATGCATTAGCCTTTAATTGTTTGTCCTCTACAGTTTTTTCAGACCTATATTCTCAAGTGTCTTTCCCTACCCCTCGTCCCTGTACCTTTTCTTTGCTCACTTTGCATCATTCTCCCCTTCCAATATTTATCCTCCTGCTACATCATGTCCTCCCTTCTCCACACCCTTCTCCTACTCCCTCCTTTCTCTCCCTCCATCCGCCTGTCCCCACTCTCCCTCCTCTTCCCGTCCCCACTCTTCCTTGACTCCTCCCTCCATCCTGTCCCCACTCTCCCTCCTCTTCCCGTCCCCACTCTTCCTTGACTCCTCCCTCCATCCTGTCCCCACTCTTCCTTGACTCCTCCCTCCCTCCTGTCCCCACTCTTCCTTGACTCCTCCCTCCATCCTGTCCCCACTCTTCCTTGACTCCTCCCTCCATCCTGTCCCCACTCTTCCTTGACTCCTCCCTCCATCCTGTCCCCACTCTTCCTTGACTCCTCCCTCCATCCTGTCCCTCTCTCCAGGTGACATGGAGGAGCTAGAGGCCATGTGGCTAACGGGCATCTGCCACCATGAGAAGAACGAGGTGATGAGCAGCCAGCTGGATGTGGACAACATGGCCGGCGTCTTCTACATGCTGGGGGCGGCCATGGCTCTGTCGCTCATCACCTTCATCGCCGAGCATGCCTTCTACTGGCAACTGCGCTTCTGCTTCATGGGCTACTGCACGGGCAAGCCAGGCTTCGTCTTCTCCATCAGCAGGGTGAGCCAGGCCACCTCAGACACCCATAGTAACTGTCTACACACACTCATATATGGCTGTTCTTCACTAAGGCTTTCTTCTAATACCCAGTAAACAAGAGTGCTTTATTCTTGGAAAAGGTAGTCCATAAGGAAACCTGGTCAAGTAGAAGGCTTATAGGCACTGATGGCAGAAATATGTGTGTAGTTTATGTCCCCAGTGGCCAACCAATGCCAAACTCTGAGTTTAGTTTGAACACAGACAGATTTCTTCTTTTGTTTTGATGCTATTGCCCGTTTCACATCCGGGGTAAATATTTACAAAATGTTGAGCCAAAATCAATTGTTCACTCGGCCGGAGAAATGAGGGTAGATTACTAGTTCTATTTGGGAGCAAAGTCACCCTGAGGTATTTGATTTGCGTTCCAATTGTTTTGACATGGCTCCAGTGTAATTCACCAAGGTGAAAGGCTTGGGGCTAACCACGTGGCTCATTTACTACAGTGCCACACACACCATTGCTCTTTTCATTTGAAAACCAGGGCAGAGGAAAAGAGTAGTCTTTGTTCTAATATTCTGCCTCAGTTGATAGTTTTTTGTCTAGTGTTATCGTGTCAATGTTAGTGTGTGTTTGTCTGTGTGTTGTTTGGGTGTGTGTCCATGACAATTGGTTAGTAATTGTTGATGATTATACCATTAGCATTTGTATGAGGACGAGAGTGAGGAAAATGACTGTATGCATTTGTGTGAGGTTCCATTATGACATGTATTCATGATATTATTTCCTAGTTGTTGTGACTGTAAATATCTGGATGTGACCCTTGAATACAGTTCACTCTTAGAAAGAACTGTTCCAGAAAGGTTCTTTGGCTATCCCCATAGGAGAACCCTTTTTAGTTCCAGGTAGAACCCTTTTTGGTTACAGGTAGAACTATTTTGGGTTCTATGTAGAACCCTCTATGGAAATGGTTCTACATGGAACTCAAAAAGGTTCTACCTGGAACCAAAAAGGGTTCTTCAAGGGTTCTCCTATGGGGACAGCCAAAGAACCCTTTTAGGTTCTATATAGCACCTTTTTTTCTAAGAGTGTAGAAAGGATTCAGTGCTCCAAAATATTCAGAGGAAACAACCTACAATATGTTTGTTTATTAGTATTCATCGCCACACACCAGATTTTCAAGGGATAATTACACAACAATGAGGGAAATTATGGTTTATTATCTTTTCACAATCCTGGAGTATGGCTTCACATTGGTTTATTCTCATTTAGTTTTATATTTTCCATTGACGCCCCTTTCCCTGTGCCACTGGATTGATTCTGTTTTTGAATTTCACAGCATAATCCAATAAACGTTATTATTATTACCGCAATTAACATTAAGCTCAGCACTGTAAGAATGAGAAATATGTCACGCCTGATCGGAGTCACGTGTCCAAGCCCTTGTTGGTTACAGTTTCCCCCTCTGCGCTGGTGAAAAACAGTAAGCAGGGCTTCGTTAGCAAAGGTATTCCTCTTACACCTGCAACACTATAACTAATTCACTAACCAATTCATTACATTGATTTAAGAAACCGTCTAATGACTTTAGCTAGGAGTTTAGATGAGTACTGTACATGTATTAAGCCTAATCGCTGTGTCTTCAAATGATCACATTGTAGTATTATTTGCATAAATCCACATATAGGCTACTCAAGGACAGGGCAGCTAGCGAATCTTTGCATTTGAAACCACATGTACACTGTAATCAGTTATAGATTTTAGGTGCCTCCATGACTTTACATTTCTAACCCTCAGGCCAGAGCTATTACCATTCAGACATCCCAGCCCAAATAATCCCAGAGACAGTCTGTGAATGTTTACTTTACGTGGGCATGTGGAGTATCTCAGTTGAATATGAAGCACCATAGACAATGCTAAGGCATTCTGTTGTTTTGTTTATTCTTCTCTGCAAACAGCTCAAACGGAGCACACATGATATGTCATCTAACATTGCCAAGGGTTGAGGGTTGAGTAAACACAAGGACAGCATGTCACAGAGAATATGGGAGAATCAGTAGTGGTGCGTGGGTAAAATCACTGGGGAAGCCAGAAAAAAAGCCATTTTACAACCTACGTGTTGTGATAATTGCATTGTTTGCTCTATAACCTGTTAGTTCATATGCCTTGCCACCGTGATATATAGGCCTAAGGCCGAGACAATAAGAAGACACAGTGGCAGAATAAATTCAATCACACCATTGTTTCATCACAAAACCGGAGAGCAACCTCTGTCCGGTGAAGTCCACAAAGCATATTGCATGTAACAAACAGTTACATGACCTACAGCATGGTGAAGAAAGTTCATGTTTCAGATATTTTTGGACTACTAAGCAACTATTGATTTAGAACCACGTAGAGTTACCACAAGTCACAATGAAAACAGGAGCTGCCTCCACTATTACAGCACCATTTCAACTTCAACATTTCAACATCATCAAATCACCTATGCTGTCACGATCGTTATTAGACACGGACCAAGGCGCAGCGTGATATGCGTACATTCTTTTATTGCAGTACACAACACGAACCAAAACAACAAAACAAACGATACGTGAAGTCCTGGGTTGAACACAAACCTTCCGGAACAAGATCCCACAATAAACAGTGCCAAACAGGCTGCCTAAGTATGGTCCCCAATCAGAGACAACAAGCTACAGCTGCCTCTGATTGGGAACCACCCTGGCCAACCTAGAAATACACGAACTAGAACAAAACATAGAAAGTAACACATAGAAAATCCACACCCTGGCTCAACATATAAGAGTCCCCAGAGCCAGGGCGTGACATATGCTTAGTCTAATACAGTGACAACTAAAATATAACAAAAACAATTTAGTCCAATCAACGTAAGCTAAATATGATGTGGCTGTCAATGGTTCTGATTTGTGTGTGTGTGTGTGTGCATGCGTACGTTCGTGCAAGTAGAAAAAACATGTTGACTCACCCTACTTGTAGAGAAACCCCAATGCCATCCTCCTCTCTTTCATGTTGACGAAACAGTCTATGACTTGTCATACAGTACACGCTTTTATGCTTGCTCGCTAGCCTATCTTCCTTTCATGGGCAACGTTAGCTAGTTAACATTAGCCTCCTACATCTAGCTACATATTGAACTTCCATCCTCTCAGTTCAGGGGCACAATGTATGAATTTATGATTGGATCAGAATCGCCGTTATAATCATTGGCCAGTACGGATAATTAAGTAAAACCACAAGTCCAAATCCCTATCTCCATCCATAGCTAATTTAGGAAAGGGACAATTTTAGCTAGCTAGCTAGCCACCAGAGGACAACAACACAACGAGATGCAACAATTCAAGTTGTTTCTGTCAATTACGTATTTCTCTTGATGCGATGTGACAGGAGTGAAGCCAAACTGGCTTCCCTTGACACAAAATGTTTTGGTGCGCCAGGACCATTCACAGTTGAGCTCACTCAGTTTAGCTCAACGCTGATTGGCTATTATTCTATATGTTTTTTTTATCAAGGGAGGCAAAATGCTCGCTGGCTTCCCTTGCGTTCAATGCTCTTTATGACCAGACAGCATCAAATACTGTAGATGGCCTACACATACAGAGACAGAGGGGCGTTGTTTCGCTCGCTCGGATGCTGTCTCCGGTGAGATACATTCAGCCTCTTGCGAATTGAAGGAAAATTATGAAAACACAGAGAGACAAATAATTATTTATTGTATCTTTTTTTCTTGGTACATTATTTGGGGAAGCCTGGCTTCCCTTGGCATCAATGATTACACGCCACTGGGGAGAATAGTGGTATGGCAGGCTCATGGCCTCATCAAGACGGAGCAATGGAGGGCACATTGATGAAACAAAGAGGCAGAAGGTAGGAGTAAGAGAGATACAGTACCACAGAGACAACCAATGAATAACAGCTAAAAGGGGGAGATGTCAAACGTCAAAAGGTTGGCATCATGGTGGTTATGGCATCAAGGCTGAGAGAGAGGACAGATGACATGAAAATGACCCTGTTAAGGAATCTGACCCCAGCAGTAGCCATTGACCAGTACACCTTTGACCTTTAATGGCGGCCAAAGGGTCCTATTACCTCTGCTGTCATTTCCCAGACAAAATAACAAAAAAAATCATTGGGTCAGATTGATTTGATCCAACTCATCCATCTGTCACACCTCGTTTAGCCAACTCTCCATCCATTTGTATTTGAATATCGTATTATACATCACAGGACGCAAATAGCACGGTTTGTCTTTCTGTCATCATTATGCCAGTGTTTCCTGGCCTCATCCTCTCTCTGGAGTTTTATATTATTGCTTGGCGGTCCACAGTCAATGCCAGGGGTATTTATTAACTGCCCCTGGGTATTGTTCAGCTGAATTCTAATCACATTGATTGAAGGTATTGACCGCTGAGACCCACAGGGCTTTACTGCATCTCTGTCATTATCAATCATCTCCCCATCCTCTCCTCTCTCCTACTTTCTCATGCTCTCCTGTCTCATATACCCACATACAGTATAAATATGTTAGATGTATTACATTCAGTCCATGTGAATCTATATTTATCATTTTATCACTTAATGGAGAAACAAGAAACAAGGAGTCAAATCCAGAGGTACTAGAAGTGAACACTTCTTTACTTATTTCTGTTTAGTTATTATGTGTAGTGTATGTTCAACAGTTGTGTAGGCTATGTACATGGCTTTTGTTATTTAACAATCTCTGTTTCCCTCTCATTCTCCTCAGTCTACTCTTAGCGGCCCTATTTTTAGTTCTCCTTTATTCTGCCTCTGACTCTCCCTTACCCTCTCTAATGCTGCTTAATGACCCTCTTCACTCACAGGGCATCTACAGCTGCATCCACGGGGTTCAGATCGAGGAGAAGAGCGGCTCAGCTCTCGACTCTCCATCGGTCACCATGAACAACACCCAATCCAACATCCTGCGTCTGCTCCGAACCGCTAAGAACATGGCCTCCCTGTCCGGGGTCAACGGCTCGCCTCACAGCGCCCTGGACTTTATCCGTCGTGAGTCGTCCGTCTACGACATCTCCGAGCACCGCCGCAGCCTGGCAGGTCACTCGGACTGCAAGCCTCCGTACATGCCGGAGGATAACATGTTCAGCGACTACATCAACGAGGTGGAGAGGACTTTCGGGAACCTCCACCTGAAGGACAGCAACCTGTACCAGGACCACTACCTGCACCACCATGGAGGATCTGCCCTGGGGCTCAGCGGCCCGCCCCTTAACAGACCCCACAGCCTGGGAAGCAACAGCTCTCTGGAAGGGGGCATGTTTGACTGTGACAGTCTAGGGGGAGGAGTGGCACCCATCTTCACCACCCAGCCACGCTCTGCCCTGACCCACAGGAACATGAGTAAGTTTGACCTGATTGCCAGTCAGAACCCGCCCTCCGGGCCAGGCTTCAAATCAGGACTGTCAGACCTGTATGGAAAGTTATCCTTCAAGGGAGGGGCCTCCAGCTCAGGTTACATCCCCGGGCACGACAGGTACTGTGGGGGAGGGGGCAGAGAAGATGACGGAAACATCCATTCAGACGTTTCAGACATCTCCACTCACACTGTCACCTACGGGAATCTGGAGGGCAATGCTAAGAAGCGTAAGCAGTATCGCGACAGCCTGAAAAAGAGGCCCGCCTCGGCCAAGTCGAGACGAGAGCTGGATGAGATTGAGCTGGGCTACCGGAGAAAGCCTTACCACACAGGCTACCACCACTACCACGGCCATCGCTCCTCCTCCCCACCCCTACTGCCCTCCGAACGCAAGAGAGGAGGAGGGGGAAACGCAGGGAGCACATCCTACCTGTTCCGTGACAAAGAGAGTGTGAGGGATTTCTATTTGGACCAGTTTCCGCCCCAAAGTTGGTGTCCCCCAATGGGAACATGTGGATCTGACAGATGGTCCTGGAGGGGGGGGTGGAGGGGGCGGGGGGAACTGCACCAGTTTGGTGTCAGTAGATGACTTCCTGAAACAAAGTAAACCCAAGAAATCAGAGTCTAAGAGTGGGGGAGGCACATCTGGGGTGGGGTTGGCAGGCGGTGACTGGGAGTGTCGGAACTGCCGTGCCAGCGGAGGAGGGGGCAAGCAGATGTCGATGCATGGCAGCGGGGCGGGGGAGAGGGGAGGCGGGTATGGTGGAGGGGTTAGTTGTGGATCCTCGGGGGGTGGAGGGAACAGCCGTCCCAGCTCTGCCACCTGCATGCGCTGCGAGGGCTGCAAAAAGACAGGCAACCTGTACGACATCAGCGAGGACAACAACCACCTCTTGGAACAGATGGGGGGTGGGAAAGGCAGGGGCATGGGGGCTGTGGGGTTAGGTGGAGGCGCCCAGCCTCAAACTCAAGCCCAGCGTAGGAAGTCTGCCGGCTTTGGCAAGCCCCTCCGACGGCAACACTCGTACGACACCTTTGTAGACCTTCAGAAAGAGGAGGCAGTCGGAGTCAGTGGGATCATGGGGGATCTAGGAGGGGGCGATGGGGGCATGGGTGGTGCAGGAATGGGCGGGATGTTGCATCCTCCCAGAAGTGTTAGTTTAAAAGAGAAGGAGCGCTACATGGAGGGTGTTAGCCCCTTCGCCCACATATTTGAGAGGCATGGAGGCTCAGAGAGGGAGAGGGAGCGAGACAGAGACCCCCTGTTCTACGGTGGTGAGAGGGCCAAAGAAGCAGGGTCACCATTTGGCTTGTTCCGAGGTGGCGAGGGCCTTCACCGTCGCTCAGTGGGGGAGAGGGACATGAGGGACAGAGAAAGAGCCATGATGGAGGGCGGTGGAGGAGGAACCTACTCCTTATCCAAATCTCTCTACCCGGATAGGGTCAACCAAAACCCCTTTATCCCAACCTTCGGTGACGACCAGTGTCTCTTGCACGGCGCCAAACAATACTACATCAAAAAGCAACAGCAGCAGCAGCAGATGCCCCCCAAAAACAGCCGAAGTGACTTCCGGGGCTCCGTGGGCGTGACGTCCTTCTTGCCAGCGACTGCCACTGCTGGGGTCATGTCCAATGTGGACCCCAGGTTCCCTATGGAGCTGTGTCTGGGAGGGAACCTCCACGGCTCCACGCTGGGTGTGGGGCCAACACAGCGCGCGTTCAATGGCAGCAACGGGCACGTGTACGAGAAACTCTCCAGCATAGAGTCAGATGTGTGAGAGAGGAGACTGGGGGGGGGGGAGGCAGGGAGGGAGGGAGGCATGGCATTAGTGCTGGGAAGTCAGGGATGATGAGGCTCCACTGTCCACATTGCAACCGCAACACTTTTAACAAGGAAGGAGAACAGTCAGGGAAGAGAAGATGAATGACAGAATGGTGAAAAGGTTCAACGGAAAAGAGCAGGGTGAGTTAGAAGGAAAGATGGGGACATTCATGCCCTGTTATTTTGTTACAAAACAATAAATTCAAGAGGTGAAACGTGGGTAGGGTTATGTTAACCCTAGTACTTATTTGGCTGTTGCCATCAACACACTCTCAAAAAGAACACAAAAGTGACACCTCTGAATGTGATATTGCAAGTCTGAGCCAAATGGCTTACAGAGTCACACCTACAGAGTGATTATGAAAAGGGAATGTGAGTGAGTAGTGAAGTGTCCATCTGGTCAAGCGTTATTAGAGAAAGGAGATGTTGTCATGACTCATGTTTATGATAGCTCTGACACCGAAAATGAGTTTGGTGGAAGACGATGGCCGTGTTTACCCCTGCACTAACTCTTCTGCTCTTTGCCTCTACACTCTTAGAAAAAAAAGCTTCCAAAAGGGTTATTTGGCTGTCCCCATAGGATAACCCTTTTTGCTTCCAGGTAGAACCCTTTTTTGTTCCAGGTAGAACCCTTTTGGGTTCCATTTAGAACCCCTTTGGGTTCCATTTAGAACCCTCTGTAGAAAGGGTTCTACATGGAAACCAAAAGGGTTCTACCTAGAACCAAAAGGGTTCTACCTGCAACCAAAAATGATTATTCAAAGGGTTATAGATAGCACCTTTTTTCTAAGTGAATTATTCTGCTCCCTTACACCCAAACAACCATCGTTGACTCTTGTTTGCTATGATAATTCAATCATAAATGAAAATACGATATTCTTACTGAAATAACAGGGTAAAACAACAATAATGTTATTAACATTGTGATTAACAAAAGTGATATTAGTATTAAGTATAATAATACTGCTTATGACATTAAGTTTGTTTTATGTTCCTTTGATATTTCAATACTGTTTAATATTTGTTGTTATTTCTTTGTCTGCCCCACGGTGGCAGGAAGCTTGTTATCTAATTCAACTAACAAGCCTGAAGGACTGAGTGAAAAGTCATTAGGTCTCTTGTTTTTGTTTTAATGATATACAGTTCATGCTCATTCATTAATTTGCTGTTTTTAAAATTGTTACGGAAGGATCTGGAAGACATAATTTGCACAGTACTGAAAGGTTCTTCTTGAGTTCTTTGTTTGAAGTTTCAAGAGATTTCACACCCTGTTTCTGAACTTTTGTTGGTCAACAACTGTGAAAGACATGTCTTGTCATAAAGCAGATGGCTGAAGATACTGACTGAAGGACGTGCCTTAAAGGACTCCAAATGATGTGTACCCCAGAGAGCTGAGCAGGGTGTGGTGTAACGGCATGATACATAATGAACAAGGTGTTAAGATTTGTACAAATCCTCTTGTCTTGAAGGGAAAACCGGCTACTCTGAAACCAAGTGATTATTTACAGATGTGAGACTGAGATACTGTGGTGTGTTTCAAGACAATAACATGTTTGATAACTAACACTTAATTAATGTGGACATTATTACACAGACATTACAATACCATCAGAAGTGCTTCATAAACCTGTCACACATCCATACTAAAGAACACCACACATACTGTCAAACTGCTGTGCCTCATCTAACAAGCATTTGATCACCCTTTTGGATTCAGGTTCTAAGAAAACAGCCAGCAGCCTCCAAGGCTCACTTTTTACCACATCACTTATCTCGTAAAACCCGTTGCGTTCACTCTCTGAAGTTAGGAAGGTCTATACAGGCTTATGAGACACATTGAAGAAGCATTGTGAATGCAGTTTGACTTCACGTCAGTCAGAGTGTTTAATGTGTATTAAAGGCATATGCTCTGTATTTCTAAATTTAACTAAAATCCTCTTAAAAGATGTTGTTGCCCAATGAAGATGGTAATGGTATTGATTAAAGCCTGAACGTAAGTCGTGAGGATGTCTCTAAAAGGGACATTCCTCCTCAGACTGAGGCAGTTAGATGGAGGATATCTTGAGAATGCTTCACGCTTTAGTCCTCTTTATTGCATCCCCCCCACCCCCCCCATGCCTTATCATATGAAACTGACTGATGACACAAGCTATTGTACAGCATACGAGCCTATCAGCTATTTAAAGGTTTGTCTTCAATTAGTATGAAGTGTCATGAGTTCAAGGGCTGCAGGAAATTGGGTTTCAGTGCTGAATGGAGATTGAAGGTGCTGAGGGAGTAGATTGCGCAGAGTCATTCCTACTTCCAATATGATCAAACTGCACCTCTGTAATATGGAGGTGGAAGATGGAGGGGAAATGATTGAGTGATAACAGCTGTTTTCCTAGACCTGCTGATAATCTATTCATTTATTCAGTACACACTTCTCTCTCCATAACATTAAGATGAAACCCATCAAGTTAGCCTTAAGTCAAACTGATTCAACACCCCCCATGAATTACTTCATAAATGGATGGGTATCTTTGGACTTTTTATATGCACATGTTTTGGATTGTCGGCCAATATCAGAAAGTTTGAAGAAGCAATGGAAAAGAGGCGGAAGAAATAAGAGAGAGAGAGAGTGAGAAAGAAAGAAAATTGAGTTATTATCAATCATTGTCAGCATTAGTATGCTATCTTTTTTTCCCTGTAATATATTTAAAAACTATTTTCCCTTTGTACAGTAGGCAGACAGTCAGGATGTAACTTTCAATATGTTTTACAACAATTTAAGAAATAAACAAAATGGTAATAAAAACATAAAAATACAAAATACAAAACAAAAATATGCAAAATATAGTTAAGACAAATATTACTAATAATGATAAGTGATATGATTTAACCTTTTATTTTCTTTAAATCTCATGTTTACTTAATTATGATAGTTCACCAATAAATATAATGATTATTTTAAGAATATGCTTTTGCTTATTTTCACTAAAGTGTTGGAAATTGAGGATAATTTACTCTAGGTGTAGACGTTTGGTGATAAGGGGGAAAGTTTAGTTTACGAGTCTTTGCTAAGTTTCCCTTGAATTGTGTTAGATTCTCTTTTAAGATAGGCTACTCTTCATGCTTTACGGGATACCCACAATTATCTATACATTTATGTAATACAGCATTACATGTATACATACCAGTAGATGGCTTTTGCATATAGAGGCAGTATATTGTGATCCTTTATTTAAGCAATCCTCATTAATTAAGTAATTGACTATGAGATAATTTGTGTTATGTTGCCCTTTATTCAAATGGGATCTGATGCCGATTGCACTGGGGTTGATAGAGCATACACCACGCAGGACTGGATCCTCCTCCTCATTCTGTGTATCTCTAATAAGGATAATACTGATATCTTCAGTGATACGTGTCAGTAGCACTGGGCACAACACATTGGACATTTCCCAGTGTTGCTCTCATAATAACAGAGGATGTGGGTGCAGATGTGGGCAAAATGAAGTGGTTAGCTTCATCACATTGAAGAATCCATCTGAAATGGAAATGCATTTTTGCAACCTCTTATAGAAATGTTTCTAATCCATGTCACCTAAACATCATGTGCAGATGGTTAGAAATTAAGGGTGAATCAAGTAATTCAAGGCAATGAGTTGATATCGTTATGTTAATTTGGGTTCTTGTCAGATAAAAAATTATATACTTTGTGTTTTATTTATCCTTGATCAAATCTCCACTGTGTGTCAAACTTTTTGGTATGCATGTGTGAGAAGATATATATGTTGTCTAAGCCATTTTTGATTTATCTGCTATTTTTTGTCCAAGCATTATTGCTTTCAATAACTTTCAATCAGTTTATTTTCCAACTTTTGGGGAGAAATAATTTTAGCTTGAAATGTATAATTCAAATGCATTAATGTCTAGAGGGTTCTTTCTGAAAATTGAAATTGAAAAATGTGTTTTCACTGCACTCTGTTTGGGTCTGCATATTTGTTATGCAACTCTTCATATTGATTTTACTCATCGCAATAAACTGCATGATCCTTGGAGTGTTTGTGTTGGAATCTACTGATGTGTGTTGATTAGTCTTGAATGGAAGAATCCCTTTAAATGTAGACCTACATTGTGATAAGGATGGTCAGGAACTCTTCTTGAAAATGGCACACTGGTCTTAACTGGTTTTAGCACTGATTGGACAGAAGAGAATACATTGATAGTGCTTTAAACAGGCTGTCATACCCTTTACCACAACTACTCTATGGCCAGCAAGTGCAGTAAGTGAGAAACAGCAAGCAGTGTTTATTTCCCCACTCTGTGCACAAGCATGTCAGTACACATACACATTTGTTTAAATGGGATATGAGGCAAAATGCAATGACACATCAGCCAAAGCAAGGAAATGCTCTGCCATGGTTGTGGACTGTAGAACAGGCCCCAAAACTGTTTGGTGGATACTCCAGCTTGAACACGTTGATCTAATATGATAACATCGCTACATCTACAGCCATGGTTTATTCCTGCATTTCGAAGTGGAATAAACAACACTGGTTTTATTGTGTTTTTATCATAATATTTTACCTATTGATGAAAAGGACTTACAGTTTTTGAACTATTTAATTTGTATAACAATATAAACTTTGATAGTAATAGTATTGCAATTATTACATTGATAACACATTGATTGGTTACAGACCATGCACTGAGTATGCTTGAATGGTTGATCGGTTGTGGGCACGTGTTTATTTGAGCATTAACATGTTCAACGGTTAGATTTTCTTTTGTCTTCATGATTAAGATACATAACATGAGAAATGTTATAGTAATGTGGGTAACATTGGTTAAGGGGTTATTGCAAAATGTATTTTATAAAAAATATTCATTGCTCACTATTAAGAGTGTGTACAGACAGCCTGCGTTTTAGGGCAAGGTTTGTGATCTTTCTTTACCTAAACTGCATATCCT